ATTAAAAGTAATTAATATTGTAGAAATGTTGATATTGGTATTAGTTTTGGTTTAAATTATAAAATCAAATAACGTTCATGCTAATAAGTTGTCCATGAGTTGATTTTCAATTGCATTTGTATTAGTAGGCTAACTGAAAGAACAAAAGTATTACCGTGGAGAAGAATTCCAACTAGTGTTCCAGTTAGTTTGATACGGTTTATTTAGTTACGGGGAGATTTTCTCAACCTCATTTTTATTTGACCGTGATAGAATTTAGTAATACTACTAATACACATGAATGGTTATCAAAACAAAATTTAAATACGTAAGTGATAATTATGAGTTTAGGACAGATAGCTAAGAACAAATCGTTAAACATGAGTGTATTCGTAAGAGACATGCTCTAGACTCAATGTTCTGAGTTGCCATAGTCTATTTATACATATTTATACCTGACGGCTGATGACGCATACAAGTTAGTTGCAAGTATGCAGTTTATCATAAGGCGGAATACGATTTAATTGAGATATAGTGGTTATAAGTTATTGAAATCAGTTAGCCTATGTGTCATATTACTAAGTGATGTGGTGCTGCAAGATGTATTTGGCTAAATAAGTTTTTACAAGATGATTAATAGTGAGTGATGCTCATGTGATTATCAGGGAGAACATAAGTTGTAACCAAGGGGAGTACACTCCCAACTCATGTCTATGATAATGGCTTGAACCTTAGTCAGTGTTGGGGTAAATTCGACATTGATGTTTTCAGTTTGCAGGAGATTTGCTCGACTGCTTATACTGATTATTTGCATGCATGATTGTGTCGCTAAACCATCAATTAGACTGACAAGGTTTTGAGATATTTACTGAATGAGCAACTGATAGAGAAACATACTGTAATCATCTGTAGTGAATGAAGATAAAAGAAAAACAACACTAGTGATAATTATAAGTCAATTTGCTGACCGATTTTGTTAATAGTTTCATTAATTTTATCAATCATATTACGTGATTGTCAAGTCATGACAATGCTTTATGACGATATCCTGAAACTATTATGTTTAACTAGTTATAGTGTTGATTGAGGATTAGTCAGTGGAAAAATAGGTATTGTTGCTTTAGGTGATTCGAAATTATCAGAAATTTATAACGTTAAAGAATCCGAGACGCCTAATTTAATTATAAATTTCAATTCAGAAATATTCGTTTAGTGTTAATTCTAGTAGGCTACGGAGTTTTGATTTTAAACGTTTATTTAGCCAACAGCTACCTGGGATTTAGTTATTTTACTAGTGCAGTTGATAGTACCTAAATTTTTAATCTTATTATTTAAACTATGTTCGCATTTTAGGCTGCTAATATGATAAACTAATCCATAAACCCAAATACGATTAGCAACAACGACTATGATGGGTTTATTGATAAATGTTAAAGGTGATTCAAATGATTTCTAAATTTAGAAGACATGAAGATATAGTGCAACGCATGTATGGGCCAGGTTAACATGCAGGTTGTTGACGTATATGACAATTTGAAAATAATGAACATGATGAGAAAGATAATTTTAAAGTTAAGACTGCTTATGAAACTTCAGGCAAGAATATGACGCGTTATAAACAATCCGTAAGAAGTTAATGCATTTAGCCTAGGGACACTTACAAATATATGGCAAAAGCAACTAGGAAACATATACATGTTAAGTACAAGAAATCATTAAGTAAAATAGTTGAACTCGCCTGGGTTATTTTTGAAAATTAGATTACTCAGTGGACGACATATATAACGCCATTCGTGAGTAGTAGTGATCCAAAAGCATCCAGAATAAAACATGCAGTATGGCAATGACTTCCAGGGTGCTTGATGCTGTCGAGGTTTTTGGGACTCACTCTGATCAGAACAACTGAATGAATCCAGATAATTGTGTGTGCCGTTGAATGAGCCATCTAAAATGAACTTATGATTGCAGAAAACGTATAGCTGGAACTCACCGTATTTTTTTGGAGAAGTGTCACCCTTGTTGTTTGGCAATGGAACTCGAGAATATGAAATTAGGCAGGCAGTGGTCGGAAGAAAAGATATTACAGGATAGTGCATAGTTTAAAACAGGACGAGGTGTTAAGCGAAGGAACACTAAGGATTAGATCCAGATAACTATTCAATCCTTGATTGCATTGTTAGTCAATGTATATTTACGCTATTAACAGGTCATATTTGCTAGAGCTTGATGTTTAAACAAGTCTATGTCGCTGAAGCAGGTAATAGCTATTAAAGCTTGTTAACGAACCATCAGAGCTAATTAGTTGATATAGATGATCAACTTTTATCATCGATTGAGCTAGTAAGTTATGTACACTAATAGATATAACATTACGATAATATATGTGACCATTAATCAAAGGACTATTAGAATACTGGGTTTACAAAAATAAAAACCGATTGAGAAGGTTAAGGTGGAAATAAGGATTAACAATAATAGGTTGCGTTTCTTTAGTTGGGCTCACCAATGTAGAACTATGGTCTACTATGATATTAGTACTGCTCTAATAATAGACCTAATCCTAAATTTGTAGATTTGTCATGATATAACTGCCTAATCTATAAGATCTTACGTGGAAGTCACACCATCGACTACGCCAACTCACTGTATCGTATCAATTACCAATACATGATGTAGAACAACGTTAGGCTAGAGAAGGAACAATATATTTAATACGAATAGAAGATATAAGATAACATTCAGATGGACCACGCCTGCATAGCCGAGCCATGCCATCCGATTAAACCCAGTCCATTCAATTCATTGTTCGCGCCTTCTCCATCGTTAGGTATTTATCCGCGTTAAATATTGAATATCTATTTTCTGAGTAGTCTCGCGTTCAGCTTTGTGGATTGTGCGGTTATTGTCCAATGCCACTACAGATTCTTATCATCCTCGGTAAACCACGGCGCGGGACAATCCTACAAGATTTGGTATCGAACCAACTTCACACTGATTCTTGTGGGAGAGTATGGTAGTCGATTATACTGAAAAAACTCGATATGTGTTTATTGTCAGTAATTCACGGCGTGAAGAGAGGACATCTAGTTGCAAATAGGCCCTAGCTATACCCAGTTTTGCAAAGTACCTTCCACCGTTTAAGATAGCTATGCGAACGGTTGTCGTTCCAGAAAAGATCCTAGCACACCCAATAAAATCTGACCATTCTTGCGATCGCCTTAGCGTTAGCCCTCCATACAGATCACGATCTCTTTTGTGAGACACACTGTATAGGCTAAAAACCTATAGCAGATATTTCGCTTGGAACTGGACGTAGTATTTTAAGCAGAAGTCTGGTTAAAACCAGAGAGATGCTGTAGAGGATCCCGGGTGATGAGACAAACCGCCAAGTGCCTCTGTGGCAACGTAAAAGACGGGAGTAAACCAGGAAAATTCAGAAGCATATACGTTCAATTAGTTAGTCGTCACTGAATCATGGCTATCATGAACACGCAGGTACGCTCTCAAATTTCCTCACCATGAGTTGTCCCCATTTGTAATGGTTTCCCAGCTTTTTTCAGTGGACAATTTTTAAAGGAAATTTGACAAATATCTGCCCATCTATGGATTACCATCCGTCTCTTGAACCAGCTGTTTGATATGCTTCGTAAATTACTACAGTTATTGTAGTTGTACATCAGTAGCTATTTTTCATGTCCTTCATCTCTGTTTACCCTCTAATTCCTTCAGTTCCATCATCCCAAACATTAACAATTGAATAAATTATCTATTTATTCTTGAAACGATTATCTTCCATCAGCCAACGAATTACCTCTTGCTTTCACACTGCAAGCAACGAACCTCCTACCCGGCAGTGTGATAGTTGATGATGTCCAGAAACCTTTCTATCCTTAGACAAACACACTCACCCAAACTACAAGATACGCAAACACACAAATATCTATCGAACTGATTAGGATTAGTGGAATCAAGTGGGTATTACAAAATACCTGGAACCATACCGAAACTAAAGAAAGCGAGAGCAAAGAAATCAGTTGGTTTATGCAAGCTTGTGACAAAGATGTCAAGTATTAAAAGGCGAACACCGGAGAGAAGTATGCAATCGAGAAGATGAGCTGGCACTTCAAGAGGATCTGACTCGGCTTCAAAGTTGGGCAGACGACAACAGACACTTCAAAGTGTAAAGTGGTTTATCTGAGACATGTTGCAGACTATAACTACAACTTTGATCACTCCCTCAAGCGGTATCTCAGGTTGAAAAAGGTCTGGGTGTGTTGTCCCTTACGATCCGAAGTATTACGCCGACTGCGACAAAAGTGCCTTCCGAGAAGAGCTTGCACTGGTAATATTGTAGTGCATTTTCGGTCATTTTGACAGAAAAACTCTCCACATAACCTCCAACAGTTTTGTTCATCCCCATTTAGAGTACGGAAACATAGTGTTTTCTCCATCACACCAAAAGGGATAGGGACACTCTGGGACATATCCAACGGCGAGCCACGAAATCAGTTCGGGAACTCAAACTCTTATGAAGAGCGCTTCCAATCCCTGAACTTTTACCTATTAGAGTGTAAGAGTCCTAGAGGTGACCTTTTAATCACTTATATGATCCCAAACACCTCTGGATAACCTCCCAAACACATAATTAGGCTTAATCCCAACACAAAACTTAGGGGTAGCATCCAGAAACTGGGGGCACAATACTGAAGAATGGACTGTATATACACCTTCTACTCCTTAAGATTAGTTAAGTTCTGGAATCCGCTGCCGGCTGAACCTGTCCAAGCTTCTTCCCAGGAGTCCATTAAGAGAACGTCTGGCATACTTTTAAGGACTGAGGACAGTATCTTACTATGATTTACGAACTTTTTTCTTTTACTGCTTTTATTGTTAATATAACTAGGTTCATCTACCTAGAGGCATCAGTGATCCACTACTACTAGATACGGAAGCCCGTTAAGTGAAAGAGTCTTTTATTCTGTCTACAATCACTTGAACCTTATGAAATATATTTTTAAAATATGGTAATTTCCAAGTAATCGCGAAACAACCAGACAATATTTTTGTTGACTGATCTGTCAATCTCAACAGGGCAATCAAAGGTTCATAACAGTTTCTCTATATCTAGGTATGGTCTAAAAACAATACCCTAGTTATACTAGGGTACCAAATAGGTACTGTCAATTTAAGGTCTTCACTTATAGGAGGGACGTCTGATTTCAGGGTCGTTTGGTTGGATTTCTGTAATCAGACCTTACACTGACTTTTTTCTTGTTGACAAAACCAAATTTAAGACATATAACTTCAGTCTAACACCTTTTACGATTTATTTTGGCTTGATGGGACCCTGAGTGTAAAGTCCTTCCACTCATCAGTAATTTAATAAATATATATTTTTATTTGGTATGATATTATTCATATATAACCAATAGTGTCTAATACAAATGGTTGGCGTTCAGTGCATAATACTTGTACAATTACTAGCAGAAACAGTCACTTAACTGTACAAAGCATTTGGGGATATTGATTAGTCTAATATGTTGCGACGTACAGCTACTTATTTGTTCAAACACATAAACATTAGTACAAGGAGGCACCAAGTAAATATGCTCTACATAGATCGTTTGATTTTTGTTTGGGCCGTGATACTGCCCGGGTGCCCAGACCGAAGCAAGTGGTTTTCTTATGAGGCCAAACCCCGAGCCTTCGATCTAAAAGTCTAATCCACAAGGCAGTGGACAAACATAAAGAGGTACAGCCTCCTAGTAGCAGGTGATCAACAATAGGTTCGTATGCCATTTGTTTCCTCAGAATCCTGACTACTCTGTGTACCATTGGTTTGGAAGATGCTAGCTTCAAGCGACTTTTTGAGATGATCTCATTCTTACCAAACGTTTTAACGGTTAAAAACTTAGCACCATCAAATACTTAGGACGGTCGTTCATATAGTTTAAGAACTGAGTCAATGCGAGCAAAGCGAAGTTTTCCGAAACTAAGTGCTTGCTAGTTTGTTTGGAATGTGGTGAAAATATACTTTCCAATTGACATAGTAATTATATTAGGTGACTTGAATGCGGAAATCTAATTCAAGTCTTCATCCACACTAACCGTCTGTACCATATCCATACATAAACTAGCTACTCTGTTGTACCACCAATGCTGTCTTTTGTTGTAAATCAGCTGCCTATTAGTATCAGTTGTTTAATAGCAGGTTTTTGAGCTATTGAGATCTCTTTGGAAGACGATTTGTAGTTGGGTGATAGGTCGTCTCATTGATGTAGAAGACCTCAGAATCGTCAGATTTGTAGGACTTTTAAATACTTGCTGCCACTTGAAATATCGCAAATTATGGATGAATTCGAGGGTGGAGTAAAGGTACTCTCAAGTACCAAATTAAATTCCGGCTCGGAGACTGTTGAATGTGGACCATCTTTTGGAGCTTAGCTAGATAACCTATGTATATATCCTTCTAGTGTGTAGTAGGTTTTATCCTACTTCGTGACAAAGCATTTATGCTCCTGAATAGTCTGGTGCTGCCAAAAGTGGGGACAGTCCGCTCTCCCTCTCGAAATGCTCTCACATGGCCACGCGTATACAGCCACTGCCAGGGAATTCCTACTCACTGCATTCTCGTGGCGGTGTTGTTTACGAAACTGAGAGGACGAAAAGCGAATGTCCGGTGCTTTAACTGGGTTAGTGGATATGGAGGATCCACTGAGGGGAGTTGGAAAACCCTGATTACAAAACAGTAGTACACACGAGTCAGGATTCTGGGGGAACAAATGGCGTATGAACCTATTGTTGGTCACCGGCTACCAGGGGACTGTATCTCCTTACGTTGGTCTACTTCCTTGTGGATTAGACTTTTAGATCGAAGGCTCGGGGTTTGGCTTCATAAGAAAACCACAGTATCACACTGTGAGGTTCTCATTCGTACAACTAACAAGTATTTGCATTCTATGTACACTTAAAAACTGTTATGACGGGATAAAAAGGTGGTATTACTTTGCTTACTACTTTTTGTATCAATTCATTATGAAATTGGTCCAATGTGACTATTTTATTCGTTGTATTGATTCAATATGAGCTACATATATGTTTTTATAATAAATGTGTATTCTTATATGTAATATTTATTAGCTAATCAGTAAGTGTATGTAAAATCAATGTATAAATGAGTGTATTTTGGGTTTAAGGACATTATGTTTTGGAAATGTGCTTTTGGATTGTCGATAAGTCTTAGTTTGTACCAATCTTCCGTGTTGTCACTGCGTCATGGAAATTTTAGTGTTTCCCGTTTCAAAATATAAACAGTACGACAGTAACGATGTAACCACATAAATAACCTACTGTCTGCAGATACTATGAATCTAATATGTCGTTCACTTTTGTTACCTCTATAATCTTTTTCTGATACGCCATTCATTTATTACATTATGATCAATAATTGGGCTTGTATCATCGTTTGGTGTTAATCTACATATTAACTTTTCTTTCCAGATAATGCCTGGTTACAAACAAGAAATGCCTCCTCCCGGAGGTTTCGCTCCAATTGATGTCTCAAGAAAAATGCCAAAAGGCTATGTACACGGTATGCCATTTTTGGTGTACTAATGTTTGTTTCTTTCACCTGATTTTTTCCACAACCAATGGATTTACTGGCTATCATGTGATATATACTTTTACAGCAGGCAAGTAAAGTTGGGAATAATGTGCCGGAGAAAACACATTATATTCCACTTCGACATCTTTACTGTTATTCTGTGTGCTTCTTTACAACGAAATTCGCATTTCATATGTTCATTCAGATTGTTAACACTAGCCAGCTGTCTCTAGCTTTGATACTATCCGATCAACTGGCTTATTGACTTTTGTAGTGTCTCAAAGAGCTCAATATTTTTTGGCGGATGTCTTAGAGAGGCCAATATCACTGGTAGACTACTCTGTAACAAGAAAAAGTTCAATCCAACATTGAATCAACTAACTCTTAAACTCTTTTTGGGCTTCTCAGGCGTAACCAGACTTATTTTATTTGAAATTAAAATGCTTGGTGCAACAGAATACGAAGGAAGTGCAATATAAAGTAAAATGACAATATTGTAAGGGGATCATAGGGGAAATTATGGGTGAAAAATAAATGAGGAGAATAATCTCTGCTAAATAATACAAATAAGAATGTAATTACGGTAGGTTTTTTTTCATTTAGAAGTTACATCTTACTGTTGACCTGAATTGCACTGTAAAACATCCATCTTGACCGTCACTACCTTTCAATTTAGGATACGATTGATAATATCTGAAGTTGCCAAGTTGTATGCTATTTTAGACGTCATATCAAAGTTTCAAGAAGTCCATGAGTGCCAAGTTAGAGCATAAATCATTCATCTCATGATGCCATGATCTAAACTGATCACCTATGATTTTTCTTCCACAGTCCGAATGTCAGTAAATAAAACTCATTATAAGGGCGCCTGGAAAGATACATAAAATCCATGTAGTCAACTGGGTGTGGTATTTCAATTTATTGACATATTGGATCATGATTTTAGTTATCTTTAAAACCATTTCAAAGATTCCGGATTAGTTACATAGTGTTAACACAGAAAATAATGAATTACTTGAGAATAGATTATTGAAAACACAGTATTTAATATGCCTAACTCAGAAAGACCAAATTTTATTAGCGTAAATCAAAGCTCTTTACACAGCATCTTGCATCCAGTTTTTATAGTCAGATTAACATCACAACAGTGTCAAAGGTAGTAGAGATTAAAATGTCATTCTAAGTTCTGCTGTATGAAATATAATCTCATACGTTACACCGCTATAGTTCATGCAGATATCTATATACATGAATTCAACTGTTTTCATGGGCTCACTTCTCCAGATGAGTATAGGACAACCGCAGGGTTTTGATATTTTTATAGATGTACTTTACACTCTGGTGATCCAAAATCCATACTATTCCTATACACCTAGGTGCAACAAAACAAGCATTTGCTCCATATTAAAGGTGCAAAATACCAATGTTAAGGGTTCTTTTGTCGTACAATAAGAAAAGGAAAATATATAACAAGTTTATATGAAGTTTAGTCAAGAAAGAATATAAGTCTGGTTACCAAATACTTAGTGCAGGTTAAAATGTACTAATGTTGCTAAGCATGGATGCCTTTAGAATTCAGTATTTAATGTTTCTTAGTTTAGTGGCTCGTAATATCACCAGCCTATTCTCTTTAAAGCTTTCACAAAACTCGGACTGCAACTATCTTCTAAGATCCCGATCTGTTTTAATCATCCGTAATAATAATTCGTAAATCCTTCTCACTAATTTGAAGCAACAATTAGTAGTCACTATGACTAATTAGTATCATGTTAATTTTACCAAATCTATTTTCTAAGTACTAACATTTAAAATAATCTGGATAATGCGTAAAACTTAAGAGACTTATAAACTATCTTATTTATGTTTGCTGTACCGTATGTGAACCCTTTAATCCCATCCTAAACAGAATTTTCAAACCAAACCTTCTAGACTATTTGACAAGTCGTACATGATAGATCTTATCAAAGTCCTGTCTAAACTATACAAAACTATTATACTTAACATCACTTTATGTCTGTGGACTATCGTACCATACTTTGTATTAATGAGCATATTTGTCTAACAGAGTATTATTTTTGAAGGACCTGAAAAATGCAACTGCGTTAGGTATAATCTTGACGACCTGTGAAAATGATTAGATTGAGCAAGGGACAACTATTTCAGGCCAGTGCACACATCCTTCCTAAAAGCAGTTTCTGATTCTTTAGCTCTGTACTTTCAGATGTTACTGCCGGCGGTGAGAATCTATAGAACAGGATGTAGTGTGGTATTCTTAGAATTAAACTTTTTTCATCTACTCTTTTCATTATGGGAGGGTATTATTGTTACAAATCCTGGTTATCTAAGAGGAGCAACTCACAGTTGTTATATTTCAGTATGGTTGTTAAAGCAACTTACAAGTTGAAAGCCATTTCCTGGTCAACCACGTGCATTTATCATTTTGCCGATTTCTGACTGATCCAATCTGTCAAATTACATAGCTCTCACCATCTTCAATACAAATATATATATAACCCTCGATTTTTTATCACAATTATTTTAGCATGCTGTATAGTTCACTGTTCCTAGTTGCTTCCTGCTTCAATAAAGGAATACATATTCATATTACGAATTATTTTAGCCCGTTTTAAACACCTTTTTTCATAGTAAACCACTAAACCAACCTTTTTATGGATGCATCTCTATAATTATTAAGGTCTTATAACACTTGGCGCATTGTATACTTCAACATATGTGGGCTTTAAAGTTCTCAAACATATGAAAGGAAAACAAACTAAAATTAATAGAGAAGACGAAGAATGTCGAATTGCCCTTGCTCCTTTCATTATAGCTGAACAAGAACGATTATACTTGAAACAATTACGAAAAATCGCGAATACGAACAGAATTTAATGGGTGATGTTGCAGGCTGGAAAATTGGTCATTGGTTTGACTACCCAGTTTATCATAATCCTCGAGGTTTATGGTGTGATCCGGATGTGAATGAGTTCTATGCTCATGTTGCTGATTGCGATAAAGATTTGAGGCGTAAAGTGCGAAATCGTTATTCTTAAGTTGTGCTGGCGGTGGGAGCTTGGAAGCACTTTTTATTTTGAAGGACTGATAATTTGAATTGTAGTTAAACATGTACTAGATCAAATACAAATTTACTGTTGAGACCATTGCTTTTTTTCTTTTGCTTTATAAGTTTAATCGCGGTCTCAAATGTTTGATTCTATACGCTAACCCCTAGATCCCAGCTCTGACATCATGAAACATTCATTTATATTGGCTGTTTCCTGATTGGTCGAATGGGTCATAACGGTTCAAGGTCACACAAAGCCGTTGCTCAACACTGCCCTCATAGTTCAGTTATATCGGATAGCGTTAATCACACCTTATTGATTTATATATCCATTACTCCACTGGTTCTTTAGATAGATAGATACATAGATTTTATTGACGGTTTTCTCCAAGTATGAAGCTAAAACAGGGGTTCGATTTCATCGGTGTCCTTTCTACATACGATTTACGTGTATATATTACAGGTTATCGAAATTTCAGTACGGATAATTGTTGATTTATATATTATCGGGTTTATTATGCACGGTATCAAAATTTTTTTGTATTAATCGCTGTGGCCTAATGGTTAAAGTGACCAACTTCCAACTATTGGGTACTAGGTTTGAACCCCATCCCGGCTGATTCGGTTTGGACATTATCACTAGACACCATATTAGGAGATTGTGGTTTACAGCTAATTATATTTATAGTACTCTTCAGAAATAACTCAGCTAGCATCCAAGAAATGATAGCATACTGAGCCCTGGTACGGCCGAGAGTGGGGAGAGTCCGCTCTCCCTCTCGAAATACTCTCACACGGCCACGCGTATACAGCCTCTGTCAGGGAAGTCCTACTCATTGCCTTCTCGTGGCGGGGGTGTTGTTTACGAAAATGAGAGGACGAAAAGCGAATGTCCGGCGCTTTAACCGGATTCCAAATCAATGGTGCACATGGGCTCCAGTATCCTGCGGGAACGAATGGCGTATGAACCAATCGTTGGTCACCGGCTACCATGGGACTGCATCTCCTTACGATGCTTCCCGTCATGAAAATGGCGGGAACAGTCAGTTGTGGGTTTGCGAAACGTCCCGCTTTTAAGCACTGGGTTTCTTCTGGTTCCTTACAACTCATTGAAGCCCGTCGGTCTACTCCGGGTGACCGTGAGTTTGACCATAAACGAAGGATGTTACGTAAGGAAATCGGGCAAAGCTTGCGTAAGGACCGAGAAGCCTGGTGGTCGATGCGTGCTAATGAGCTGGAAGCAGCAGCTGCATCTGGTAACTACCGGAAGCTCTTCCAACTCATCCGAGCCACTGGCAGCAAGAAGTCTGGTGTGAGTGAAACAATCTGCGAGGATGATGGGATGCCAATCACTAACATCCATCGACGTCTTGGACGATGGGCAGAATTTTTCGAAGGGCAGTTCAACTGGCCTGCTGCTCCGGCAACATCGGTCAGACTGTCCTGCCCTCCATGGCCGGTGACGACTGATCCACCAAATGAGGAGGAAGTCCGCAAGGAACTCCAACTCTTGAAGCGTTACAAATCACCTGGCCCAGATGACTTACCTCCGGCTCTTTTTAAAGATGGTGGTGACTTTTTGACTAAGGAATTGACGACGTTGTTTACAAAGGTTTGGGAACTAGAGAGTGTACCAACGTCATGGAATGAGTCGATAGTTGTCCCTATCTTTAAAAAGGGTTCACGTCGTTCTTGTAACAACTATCGGGGGATAAGTTTACTTCCGATTGCGTCCAAGCTATTGGCTTCCGTCATTCTTCGTAGGTTGTTCAAAACCCGAGAAAGATTGACTCGCGAGGAGCAGGCTGGGTTTCGTTCTGGTCGAGGATGTATTGATCATATCTTCACCCTCCGCCAAATGTTAGAACACCGCCATACTTTTCAAAGGCCAACAATCGTAGTGTTTCTTGACATCAGGGCTGCCTTCGATTCGTTGGATAGGACTGTTCTCTGGGATTGTCTATTGAAGAAGGGTGTGCCTGAGAAGTTTATTAACATCCTAAAAGCCCTGTATAAAAACACCTCAGGCAGAGTGAGGGCATACAACCACCTCTCTCCATTGTTCCATTCGAGCAGTGGGGTTAGGCAGGGTTGCCCAATCTCACCATTCCTCTTCAACTTTGCCATCGATGACATTCTGGAAACAGCTCTGATGAATGTAAGTAATGGTGGTGTGGATCTGTTGCCTGGAGAAAGACTTCTCGACCTTGAGTATGCGGACGATATTGTCTTACTGTGCGATAATGCCCAAGGCATGCAATCCGCACTTAATCAGTTGGCAATCAGTGTCCGTAGGTATGGTATGTGCTTTGCACCTTCGAAGTGCAAAGTACTTCTACAAGACTGGCAGGATTCTAATCCTGTACTCACCCTGGACGGTGAGCAGATAGACGTAGTTGAGAAGTTCGTGTATCTGGGTAGCTGCATAAGTGCTGGTGGGGGTGTGAGTGATGAGATCAATGCACGAATAGTGAAAGCCAGAGCGGCTTATGCCAATCTGGGCCACCTTTGGCGCCTTCGTGATGTTAGTCTGGCTGTAAAAGGTCGGATCTACAACGCGTCGGTGAGAGCAGTTTTGCTCTATGCTTGTGAAACCTGGCCTCTCCGAGTTGAGGACGTTAGACGACTCTCTGTGTTCGATCATCGCTGTCTCCGAAGGATTGCTGACATTCAGTGGCAACACCATGTCAGTAATGCAGAGGTTCGGCATCGTGTGTTCGGGCACAGAGATGATAACTCAATTGGTGTCACCATCTTGAAACACCGACTTCGGTGGCTTGGACATGTTCTCCGAATGTCGTCCCAGAGAATTCCACGTCGTGCATTATTTGCCGACTCTGGGACTGGTTGGAAGAAGCGGAGAGGTGGTCAGTGCATGACATGGTGTCGTGGCATGAAAGAAAGCTGCAAAGGACTGGCTTGTGTTGGTCCTTCACGACTCCCTGGTTGGGGTCCGAGAGATGGTGCTACACAGTGGCTAGAGACGTTATCAGATATGGCTCAGAATAGAAGCCAGTGGCGATCCTGCTGTAACCTTCTTTTACTTTCTTCATAAAAAGTGGTTGTGTCTCCCTTACCTGAAAGATTTCTTCTGATTGTACCTCTTCGTCATTACTCTCTTTTTCTTTTGCGTTCCTTAGTTTTTTTTTCTCTTTCTACTTCTCTTCGAATTCCCATTGTTTTGTGTGGCGCATATATATTGGCGCTCTCTTGTACCAATATTCATGTGTTCAAATAAATAAATAAATAAAATAAATCGATACATAATATCTAGTGTAAAAATCTTAATAAATTTCACTGGGAGCAACAGATTTATTGGGTGGTACAAGTCTGTTCAGAGTAATGTGTTAAGCGTGACAGTTATGATTTTTAATTATTTTTATCCTGTTCACGCATAAGTAGCCATACGAAAAGTGGAAATTGTTAGAAAAAGTCAAGAGGAATACGAAACTGGGTTATCTATTTGCTGGTGAGTTTTGGTTTTATAAGTTGCATTCATCACAGCTTGATCTCAATCAGTGTATCCTTGAAAACCAGAGAGCGATGGATAGCTATCCCATTCTAGTATGTGACTGCTCAGTAATGGGCACCTACGACCTCATCAGGTGCTGGTTTCCAATGATACCCTGAGTGAGGTCACTTTATGACGAAGAAAAACCTACAAAACAAGCTAATCTTTACAGAACTCTTTCAACTAAACTATGATAGCCAAGTTAATCGTGGCTTACTTCAAGATGCTTTTGACTGATGGGTCCAAACATGTCGGAAGTAGGACAGTTGCCACCAATGAGATTAAATAGTTGTCACGTGGTACCAAATTAATTGAAGCAGACTCTGTGCTATTAGACGCCTGCTTGTTTATTGTGTTATATCTTTAACCATTCATAAAGTCCAGTTAATTACAAATCCTATAAAATCAACATAGTATGTAGTGTACCCGTTAAGAATTGTAAACTGAGTGTCGTTATGATCTCGTGGCTCACTTCTCTACTCACTTGAGTTGAGAGTCTAAGGAGTAATAATATATATCTGAATACTCTCTCTGTTGCGCACTATTGATAGTTTTTGGAGACTGGGAATCCACTCAACCTGTTGATTATGTGACTACAACAATAATGGTCTTCTCACTAGTATTGTATCCTAATTCAGGATCATTTTGTTGTCTCAATGGAAGTAATTTAAAGGACTGAATCTGGCCTTCACAAACGGCATCATTACAGTCAACAAATTGATGAATCATAAGCCTAGTTAGTGTTTTTTTTTTCAATGAAAGATAGTGACTTTAATATTCTGGTACAGTTCAAGCGGATAAAATATTGCTACCAAACAGGATAGACCAAATACTGTTCTAAAAACAAGATAAGTGCTTGGTGCAAATGTTGGCGGGCTTACTGTGAGCTGACGGACTTTTCACTGCCCAGGTATCTTTGTCTTCAGAGGACCAATATTAATTTGACCTGCAAAGTAAAGCTTTCTACACATTCTTAGTCTCCTTATTTTGAATAACTGGTTGGCCAATCCATTGATGACTGAACCAGAACAATGAACTCAACAGACTCGAGTGTGTTATTGTACAAAATGGGTTCCCCTTATCTTTGTAATTGCTAATCATGGCGTTCCTTTATTAAAGTGTTGTGTTGGGCGATGTCCGAGATCTGAAACTGATACACAACCTGCTACGCGCTAACCCCTCAAATCGAAGAGTGGGAGAAAAAGTCTATTGAACTACTGAATAACATGAATAAATACACGTTTATATACATACATTTCTACTCCTTAGAAAATGAATTCATTTCCTTGACAATGATATGTAGTTGTCCTTTCGGCC